AACATGTGTTTGCAGGATGGGTTTGATTCACTAGCTGAGTTTTATAGTGTGCCATTTAAATGGCAGCGGAGCCAGTAATACCATCCATATGCTGTCTTGTGGCATGCTAGCTTTGATTAGGTGTGTGACGAGATAGGATTCTTTCCACTAAAGGTTATCAGCCTTGAATGATGTTTGTATGGCTTATGTTGCCAGCATATTACTGAGAAATTGCAAGATTCTGGAAATAGGATGCTTTGACAATGTCATTTTATTCACACAATTTCAGATGCCTATTAAACAATATATAAAGCTTCAGATATTCAGCGCAGTCCTAGGTGTTCCTATTGAGCGAGTGATATGAAGGTCACTTAGTGTATGGAGGTACTGAAAGTGATGAGTTTGTCCGGTGCATTAATGATTCCCAGTCCTGTTTCCCTCTCGTCTTTGTCAGCTGAATTTCCTCTGGTCAATACGCAGCCATCAGAAACTATATCAGAGGGGTGAGAAGTTCATGAAGTGAGCGCAGAAGAAGTGCGCAAAAGACCAATCTCAGGCCAATCACATGCTGGCTGTGCTTTGAAGTGTGAGGAATCAATTTTGTTATGGATTAACAGAGAAATCATTGTTAAACATGGAATCAGCCTTCTTAGATAGTCTTTGTGTCCCTTTCATTCTGCAACGCATAGATGAACAAAGTTCTAAAGTAGATATGCATGTATTAAGGAGTTCACTTACTTTACACAGTTGTGATCAGGATCAATGTAGGAGATTAGGCCCAAGAAAATAATCACATAGTCTTTTTTTTTTTTTTTTTTTTTTTTTTTTTTTTAACAAATAAAAGACAAATTAAATTTGCAAGGAAATATCAATAGTTTGGGGAACATCCCACACAATGGAGATGATTTACTAAAGGCAAATAAACTGTGCACTTTTCAAGTGCAGTTGCACTTATTTTCTCCAGTGCTTGGTGAATGTGTTGAAGCTCTGCTGATTTCCATCTTCCAATCATGTGCAAGCAAAATGCTGTATTTTTTTCTTTGTACCTGATTATTATTTTTTACAAATAGAAGCTTTACCACATTCACTAAGCTCTGGGGGAAAAGATTGCAACTGCATTTGCAAAGTGTACAGTCTGTTTGCCAATAGTAAAGCAACTCCAGTATGTGTCAGGCTCTAAAGAAGAGGGGATCCCCCCCCTTGAAACACGTCAGCCATTTTCAAGTGTCTTCCTGTGTTTGGGACTTGCTCAGAGCCCTAGGTCACCCTGGACACTGTCAACATTGATATGCTTGTGAGGCTCCATGCACACGGGGCATTTTAATAATGCTGGTAAAGTTAGCTGTGTAAAGTCACAATAAAAACATGAGTTTTTCAGCTTTTTTTTTCGCATTTTTTCATTAGCGTTTAGCAGTGTTTTTGCCGTGTTTAGTCGCGTTTGAATTTTTAAGCGGTTTTTAATGGTTTTTTTTAATAGAACGCAAATGTGCGGCCGCTCGGCATTTAGGCCCAGACGCCGGGAGGCCACACATTTGCGTTCAGCCGGCGCCAAGAGGTTAAGATAAGAGGCTCTTTTGAAGTTTTGTTACAACTTACAGCTACAAATTCCATTTTCTAGAGGAGGGAGAAGGGAAGAGAGAGAGAGATGAGTGTAAATGAAAAACAATATGGCTGAGACCTTAACAAGATGGCTGTCGCGTGCAGCGTCCATGTCTCTATTGCGCACAATCGTTGCACATGCTTGAAGCTTACCGAGTCCAGAATGCAGGCTGAGATTACGAGGAGCAATAGTCCAGAAGCAGGTCAGGAGACAAGTTGGGTCTTGTACAGAGGAGCAGGATCAGGTTGCATGGAAAAAGGAGCAAGCTGGAGATGGCTGAGCATTCTCCTGCAATGCTTTAGAGATTATATAAGCTGCTTGGCGCCTTAGCAGTGCTAAGTGTGCATATTAACACAGATGCCCAATCGCTAATTCATGGCCAGCAGTTACCCTATGCACAGGGCAGAAGTATGTGAACACATATAAGCCCACACTGGTTTCCATACACTGAAGTGAATCTGTCATTCCTTACATGTAATGTCAAATCGGGCAACACAGTGGCTAGGTGGTTAGCACTTCCCAACCCACAGCATTACCTGCCTATAGTCTGCATGTTCTCCCCATGCCTGTGTGGGTTTTCTTCAGGTCCTCTGGTTTCCTCCCACACTCCAAAGACATACTGGTAGGTTAATTGGCTCGTGTCTAAATTGGCCCTAGTATGTGTATGTATGAATGTGAGTTAGGGACCTTAGATTGTCCTTGAGGGTTATAAGTACTTGTAGTAAATAAATAATAAATACATTCAGTAGGCTGACTTTACCATGGTCTCCTTGCCAGTGTTCTCATCTCCTCCCTCATTGCCCCACTAAAAAGCTAAAAGAGCGGGTCCCATTCTACCTGTTGCTTTGTATCCAGTGGAGCGAGTAAGTCCTGCCTGCACAAGCCCTTTATACAGCTGATGCATTTCCTAGAAATCTGTGCAATAACAATGACGGCATGGGTTTGTTTCATGCTGTGCATTTCTACCTTGATGACTCTTTACTTCGCATCTATCGATGTTTTGTGTTGTACATTTGTATTCTTACGAAATGTGAAAACTTTATGTGGCACGGAAATGAGACAATCATCCTTTGTGACCTGTTGTAATTTACTCCACTAATAACCTCAGTCACTCGACACTTTGTCTTGTTTTACATATTTTTTGTAAAGTACAATTTTCTTATCAAGAATGTAAATTACATTTCCCTTCTCTCCCCTAATTAGTTGTGCACTATTCATGCATAATTTAGTTTTTAAATAAATTATACGCAGAAGTCTGGATAATTGGAATGACCAACTGCTATGAATCAACTTTCCTTGGTTTTTTTTTTTTTTTCATTTTTTTGCTTTCCTATTAGAAATTGAGTGTTTTTCTGAGATTTAATGAGATGAATTATTGTGCTCACAGGGTACAGTACATCAATAGATCATTTTCATGACAGACGGTGCTTACCTCCATCTTTTGAGGCAAACATGGAGGTTTCGAGTAAACTTTGTACATACGTAATGATTATGCAGCATTTTGAGAGACTATAAATCTTTCAGAGATTTATAATATATCACATGTAATAAGTAAAATCGTTCTTCAAAGGATGTACGCCCAGTCTGTGAGAAGTATTTATCAAGGTTCACTTGCATGCTAAACCTTGCTGATTTGCATATTTGCTTGTCATTACTCTTAATGAAAGTGGTTGTATTTTTTATTTATTTTTTAAAGGATGTTTTTTATAGGGTCACCTTTACCGTATGTTTTAAAGTGGAAATAGCATTAGATATAGAAGTATGATAACTAATGCTCTTTAAGGTCCCATGCACACTGGATGCTTCACCCTGGTCCATGAGGCTCCAGATGGAGGGCACAGGTGGCACTGTCCAACCCTGCTCCTGGCGGCCCATTAATCTCTATGAGAGGTTGACCGCTGCTTCGGCTAGGCAATGCACTGAGCAGTACTAACATTTGGGGCAGTATGCACCCAGGGACGAATGCACAGAACGCAAGAAGTCTGAGTTCCAGGCATTCACCCCTGGGTGCATACTGCCCTAAATATTAGTACTGCTCAATGCACTCTCCTGCGCCATCCAGTTGTAGCAGCTGTTGGTGTCTCATAGAGTTGAACAGGTTTCCAGCAGGACGGCTGGATGGTGTGTATGTGTACCTTCCACCCATACCGAAATGCCAGAGGCCCGTGCACCATGGCTAAATGCCCAGTGTTCATGGGGCCTTAGTGTAATTTATTACCACTCACAATACTACCCTGACAATGCCTTCATTTGCTGTCGGTGTCTCATAGGGTTGAACAGGTTTCCAGCAGCAGGGCTGGATGGTGTATATGTGTGCCTTCTGCCAATACTGAAATGCCAGAGGCCCATGCACCATGGCTAAATGCCCAGTGTTCATGGGGCCTTAGTGTAATTTATTACCACTCACAATACTACCCTGACAATGCCTTCATTTGCTGTCAGTGTCTCATAGGGTTGAACAGGTTTCCAGCAGGAGGCTGGATGGTGTGTATGTGTGCCTTCTGCCCATACCGAAATGCCAGAGGCCCATGCACCATGGGCTAAATGCCCAGTGTTCATGGGGCCTTAGTGTAATGTATTACCACTCACAATACTACCCTGACAATGCCTTCATTTGCTGGATCAAAAATGACACTATCAATATGGTGTGCACTTCCTGACTGTATTCACAAATGTCTGATACAGTTTAGCACCTGCTGCAGCCTCTCACATTACATAGTTACATAGATGGTAAGGTTAAATAAAGACACCAGTCCATCCAGTTCATTCTGATACGCCCGTGTGGGCGCACATGTATGTTTGTCACTACCATTTTCCATATCCCTGCACATTTCATTTGCCAAGAAATACATTTAGATGTTTTCTGAATTTACCTATACTCCCCGCCGACATAGCCAACTGTGGAAAGGAGTTCCACATACTTACTGCTCTAACCGTAAAGAACCCCTTACACAGTTTAAGACTGAACTGCTTCTCAGCCAAATTCATTGTGTGGTCACGTGTGCTTTAGAGAACTTAGGTTAAATAGCTTCATCCCAATGCTAGTCATCATTTATATCCCCTCATAAGTGCCTCTTCTACAGGGAAAATAAGTTTAATGCTTGTAGTTGTTCCTCATTACTGAGGTCTTCCAGCCCCCTTATTAGCTTTGTTGCCCTTCTCAGGACTCTCTCCACTTCAAGCACATTCTCCCTAAGGACTGGAGATCAAACTGGACGACAAACTCAAGATTTTGCCAAATCAGAATTTTGTACAGTGTTGTGTAAATACCCTTTTTAACCACCTGCCGCCTGCCATATAGTCCAATGACGGGCGCAAGGTGGTTCTCTTGTTCTGAGAGGACGTCATATGACGTCCTTCCATTCTCACCGTGCATGTGCAGCTTAGGGAGCGCGCAGCGCAGCGATTGGCGGTGCGCTGTGTCCCTCGGACACAGCGGATCACAGATCACGGAAAGAGCCGAAGATGTCGGCTCGGTCATGTGATCAGCTGTGTGAAATCACAGCTGATCACATGTAAACACGGAAATGCCGGTTATTTGCATTTCTCTCCTCTCGAGCTGTCACGCTGACAGCTCGAGAGGAGAGGAGAGCCGCTAATCGGCTTTCCGCGGAGGGGACATGTACACTGATCATCAGGGCACTGGTGATCAGTGTGCCCTGATGATCAGTGTAGCCCCAGCAGTGCCACCTGTCAAAGTCCATCAGAGCCAGCTGTCAGTGCCACATGCCAGTGCCTATCAATGCCACACATCAGTGCCCATCTGAGCTGACTTTCAGTGCCATCCATCAGTGCCAGTCAGTGCCACCTATCAATACCAATCAGTGCTGCCAATCAGTGCCGCCTATCAGTGTGCATCAGTGCCACCTAACAGTGCCAGTCATTGCCGCCTATCAGTGTCAGTCAGTGCCACCTAACAGTGCCATATATCAGTGCCATGTATCAGTGCTGCCTGCCAATGCCCATCAGTGCCACCTACCAGTGCATCATCGGTGCCCATCAGTGCCACCTATCAGTGTCCATCAGTGCAGCCTATCAGTGCCCATCACTGCAGCCTCATTAGCGCACATCAGTGAAGGAGAAAAATCACTTATTTACAAAATTTTATAACAAAAACTAAGAAAAAAATTTTTTTCAACATTTTCAGTGGTTTTTGGTTTAAGAAAAAATTTAAAAAACCCACAGGTGATTAAATACCACCAAAAGAAAGCTCTATCTGTCACAAAAAAATGAAAAAATTTCATATGGGTACAGTGTTGCATGACCGCGCAATTGTCATTCAAAGTGCAACAGCGCTGAAAGCTGGAAATTGGCCTGGGCAGGAAGGGGGTATAAGTGGCCTGTAGGCTAGTGGTCAATGAATGATAATATTCTGCTAGTCCTGCATACTATTGCTGAGTCTGTCATCTACTATACATTGTGACTTTTTACAAAGTTGCAGTCTGATCACTGGGGAAGAGGGGACTTAGGAAATGCTTCCTTTTGGTTGCAGCAGACTGAAAGCATCATCTCAGTCTAACCAATTTCATCTGCAAATAAAGAGGAATGGAGTTCATTCTTAGAAGCATCAGTAAAAGGATATTTTATTAGGGCGAAACAAAGTAGCAACCTACAGATCAAAGTAGGTAATGCAGTGTAAAAGCTTTCTGTCACAGCCAAAGGCGCAATTTGCATGGTTAATAGCTCACAGCTTAAGCCGGCTTGGAGGTGACATGGGAAGGAGAGCCACGCAGCATGCTGGCTTCACACAGAAGCGCATTACACACATAACTGTCATTGCGAAGGTCAGCAGGCAACATGTTTCTGGGAGATCAGCCCTTTTCTCAAGCCTTCCTGCTGACTTTGTCAGGGCTGGGCTCCTGCTACTTAACAGGCAGCTCTTTTCTTTTAGTGCTCAGAAGCTGCTCAGCTGTCATTTAATTACCAGACACTTGTCTCCACAGTGACTCACCTTGATACCATTACCTGCTTTATTTGTCCAGCCTATAGCCAGACCTTTTTGCTATTTTAGCAGCTTAGCTCATTTCCTCCTTGCCCTTGCATGGTCTATGATCTCCAGTGTGCTCCTGCCTGTGTTCTAGTGTACAGCTTGGTCTGGCTGACTTCTGCTTCTTGTTCCTGATTTTTGGCTCCTGACTACACTGACTGCTGGTTTCCTGACCCTGGCTCATCTGATTACCCCACACTGGCATCTAAACCCTGGCTACTGTTTTGACTATGTTCCTGATCTATGTTACCAAAGATCCATTATCTCCTGCGCTCAAGGACTCAGATCAAACAGGCGTTGGTGACAAGCAGCGTGTTGTGTATTCATCCACTGGTGATCAGAGGTTGTGCAGCTCTATCATGAAGCTGGGGAAGCTTAATACAACTGTAGAGGAAGATGATCTATGTTATAATTGCTATTTCAGTAAAGGTGTGATTTTTAACTGCACTTTCTGTATCCACCTGGTTTATGGTTCCTGACACTCTGTGAGAGTTCTGTGTGTAATGTGTGTGAGGCCTGCATGCTGTGCGGCTCTTCTTCCTGTGTCATCTCTGAGCCGGCTTACTAAACCCAGGACCCTGCATTCAGTGTATCTGGTCTCCCACAATGCACAGAACATGGCAATGCAATTTTGTTTTAGTAAATATAAACTGCTAAATACCTTTTCCTGTCAGCAGTTAGAGCAGTCTTGTGACTTCTATCAGTGTCCAGCCGAGCACTGGTTAAAGCTTGTAGAAGCAGTTTTCATTTTGCTCTAGGAGGATGCAGGACCACTGGCCTAGACAGTACTGATTGGCCCTTTGCTGATTGCATGCACCCCCCCCCCCAAAACCTCTCTAGCAATACACACCAAACTGAGAGTGTGCAGAGTGTCTCCACATGATATGTCTTATCAGGAGATAAGAGGGGGACACTGGAAGAAGGGGAGGATCAGAGAAGTCAGGATCAGACAACATTTTTACACAATTTAAACTGCGTTCCGTGAATCCAATCACCTTGGCTGTGACAGAAAGCTTTTACACAGCATTACCTACTTTGATGTGTAAGTTGCTACTTTGTGTTGCCCTGTTACAGTATCTTTTTTTTTTTTTTTTTTCCCTCCTTTGTATACTGCCTATGTCTGCTTGAATCAGCTACAAGGAGCTCTAAGATGCATTAAAGCAGAGCGCATGCACCAGGCTGCAAAAACAGTGAAAATCTGCAGGGGCTCTAAACAGTTTCCACAAAAAGTTTTGGTTGAACATGCATTCTATTGCTGGCCATACAACAGTAGAATTTGTTCAAATATTCATTTAGAAATTCTGAAAACTTGTATATATAATAAATAGAATATAAAATAAATGAGTCAACTAATTTTGTTTGAAAGAACTTGCAATTTCGATCAGACCCAGCTGTTTGAATGGAATCCCAGATGTATTAAACAGTTACTTTGTTCCATTGGCTCCCGCTGCTGTCAATCACAGCCAGTCAGCAAATGAAGAGAGAGGGGGCGGGGCCAAGCCACGGCTCCATGTGCGAATGGACACACAGTGCAGCGGGTGCCCCCATAGCAAGCTGCTTGCTGTGGGGGTACCCGACAGACAGGAGGAGCCGGGAGAGCCTGCAGGGGACCAGAGAGGAGGAGGATCCAGGCTGCTCTGTGCAAAACCACTGCACACAGTAGGCAAGTATAGACATGTTTGTTATTTTACAACAAAAAAAAAACCCTTTATAATCACTTTAAGTAAATACTTCTTAACCTATTGGCGCCGTCGTCTTGCGGCCCTTTAAGGGTTTCAGAAGCCGGGAGGCAGGGCGGGTTTTAGGGTCATGTGACTGCCATGATTTTCCTCTTACGGCGGTCACATGATCGGGAAAGGTCCCGATTGAAAGAGGAGATCAGGGCTTTTCCGTGAGCTTTACCGGACATGTGTGCTGGGAGCGTGCAGGGCACGCACTTTCAGCACATATGTTTTTCTTAATTGCACACAAATGTGCGGCCGCTCGGCGTCAAGGCCCAGACGCTGGGAGGCGGTACATTTGCGTGCGGCCGGTGCCAAGAGGATAAAGTGGTTGTAAACTTCAGATATAAAATATGAATAAAGCATATTTCTCAATCCAGAGCACTAAGGGGTTGATATACTGAAACTGGAGAGTGAAATGTCTGGTACAGCTGTGCATGGTAGACAGCCAGCTCCTAACTTCAGTTTGTTCTATTACACTGCGCTTTGACGATAAAACCTGGAAGCCGATTGGTTTCTGTGCAGAGCTGCACCAGATTCTGCACTCTAGTTTTAGTAATGCTCCCTCTAAGTGTCATTTCTTGTTTGCTACTTCATTCCTCTGCTATCTTTCCTCCAATCAGCTCTCAGACCTCTCTTCACTGAACTCTGCAGTGTGTATTTTCAGCTCTCTGCCCCCTTTTTCCTGACAGTCCAGACAAGCTGCATAAATTCTAGACTTTGAATGGATGTTGAGAAGAGAAGAATGCAGATCAATAGGTACAAACTATGTATGAGGATTTGTTTCATCTGTGTTATCACCTTAGGACAATCACTACACTGGCTATAAGTGATAGTTTACAACCACTTTAAGGTCTCAAAAAGAGCATTTACATTTTTTTGCCAATACAAGAAACAGGTTTGCTTTAAAATGTAACTACCCCCCTACCCCTTGATCTGTTAAACATGCTGTTGAAAGCTTTTTGTTTATTGTATTGTAGCCATTCTTTCTCCCTGTATTTTGTAAAGTGCTGTGCAAACTGTTGGCACCATCTACTATACATTCTGTATAATAACTGTGATATCTGAGTGACACATAATTGCTGTGTGTTGTCCACCTACAACAGGCTGTAGCAGATGAGTGTATTTCTGTCAGGTCATCGGGTATTTTTCTGTACTTGAGGGGTCTTTAAAGTGATAAACATGGAAAAATATGCATGTATTACAGATATACTTTATACGTTTTTGGATTATTGTGCCCTGACATACAGTGCATCCAGGATGCATTCAGTAAAACTTTTTTTGCAAACTCCAAGTGGGCTTTCATGTGTTTTGCGTTGAGTCTTCTGTCTAGCCACTCTGCCAGAAAACCCAGATTGGTGGAAGGTTGCAGTGATGGTTGTCCTTCTGGAGCTTTGTCCCATCTCCACACAAGATCTCTGAAACTCAGTCAGAGTGGCCATCCGGTTCTTGGTCACCCCTCTTACTAAGGCCTTTTTCCCCCTATTAGTCAGTTTGACTAGCTATTGGAGGTGTCCTGGTTGTGCCAAACTTACATTTGAGAAATATGGAGGTCACTGTGCTCCTGAGAACCTTCAGTGCAGCAGAAATGTTTTTGTAGCCTTTCCCAGATCTGTGTCTTGCAATAATCCTGTCTCTGAGCTCTACAGGCAGAGCCTTTGACCTCTGATACAGTATGTATTGTCAGCTGTGAGGCCTATTATAGAGAGGTGCGTGCCTTTCCAAATCATGCTCAGTCAATTTATTTACCACAGATGGACTCCAATCAAGGTGTAGAGACATCCCAGCAATGATCCAGAGCAATGGGAAGCACCTGAGCTAAATTTCATACTTTGAATATTTATGCTAATGTGATATTTCAGTTATTTTCTTTTTAAATACTTCAGACATTTCTAAAATTCTGTTTCCACTTTGTTATTATGGGATACTAGTGTAGATTAATGAGAAGCAAAAAATGAATTTAAACAACTGTAGTATCAGGCGGCAACATAACAAAATTGAGAGAAAGTGAAGGGGGTCTGATTACTTTGTGAATGCGCTGTACACTATAAATGACTCTCGAATAACATGCAGCTGTCTCCTCAATCCTTGCACACTAAGTGGTAGACCATGACACAGACATCCCTATCATTCAGAGCAATGTTATAAATAGCTGGTGATATAAAGCATCAGACAAGGTGCCATCAATTGTGTGTGCATAT